CGTGTTTGATTGTTTTCGTTTTATTTTCACTGCACTAAAATTTACTCTTTGTTATTATTTGCTTTGTGAAGTCTAAAACTACTATTACTTCTTTTTTTTCATATTAATCTGAGATCATCTAGTTTTACTCTAAAGGCGCTGTCCCACCGTCGCGCCGCGCAGGGTTTCTAAACGTATGAGAATTTAGCAGTATTTTAACATGATATGAGGTAAATATATATCTCGTACACTTTGATATGAGATTTGAACAATGTTGACTGTTTGTGTCCTGTACACAAACCACAACCAACCAATATTATCAGAAAGTAAATGAATGTCCATTCCACAAAGGATCGTCTCAGTAAATACAGATTCATTATGCCATCACTAAATGCATCCTTATTTGCAACATCTTATCATCATCTCATATGTACTAAATACTATAAATACTACTAGCTACTACATATTATATACAACGGTATACTTCTCAAATGCTTGGCAACCGTCTTGGCGTTTGGACTTTAACATTAGGTGGGGTAGAGTCATTTGCCTACCTGGCTATAAGAAAAACATAGATCGTGGGCACGGTAATATTATCTATACAGTATTGTGACTCGGCCCTGTCCTTGAAATAACTGCCTACGGCCGAGCGGGGCGTATCCACGCGGTAGGGCTGCCCGCCTACAGTATTTTAATTTCATCTACATAATTGAGTTTCTTTCTAGTTTTGTGATTGTAAATATTTTATATTAAATTATGTAGGTATCTACTTAATTCGATTAAATATTAACAATACAAACGTTTAAGCACGGCTAACTGCTTAAGAAACAATTCACACCGTTCAGTTGTCGCTGCCCACCGGGTGCCGCGCGAACTCGAGTGGCGTAGGTATGACACGCTTTCCGACCGTTTGTATGAAGATAGAATACTGTATAGATGATATTACCGTATCGTGGGACAGCGCATTAAGAGAGGAGCGGATTTGCCGCTCGAATTGGAGCGCCCGTCTAGGAAAGTAACCGCCACCTTATAGAAGAGCACTGCATAATTGAATTCTTATTTCATTCTGTACTTCTTAAAGGTGTCCGTGCGGCGTGAGTCGTGTCCATGGATTGGGCGTGACCGGCATGTCCTAGTAGTCTAGTCTCCGAGGACCTACCTAGACCTGTATTATTTCATTTCTTCTTAATATTAACTTGACATAATCGTTAATATTCAAGTAACTGTTTTAGTGTAAATGAGGCATAGGCTCGATTGAAGAAGAATGAAATAAGAGTTTACTCACCGTGTATAGAAAGGTGTCCGTGTGGCGTGAGTCGTGTCCTTGGGTCGTGCGTGACCGGCCTGTCCCCTCGGAGCCACCGCGCTCTAGGGGTTGGTTCTCCACGCCAAGCACACACTAGCCTTAGCGAGTGCCCACATTTAACTCGGGCCCAAACTCCGAAGGACAGCAAACGTGCCCCCGCTAATACGAACAAAATGTTTATTTGCTTTAAAACCGCTTCTAAAGATTCTGAAACAGTTTTTATAATGTTGTACTGAATTTCATGACAACACTCCTTCGCTTTTTAAATTCCTTCGGCACTAAGGCCTTACTCATCAGGCAGCCACAATTTTGCACGATGCGTGGTATTATCACGGTATTATGAATTTTAAAAGAGATTATTGTCATTCACGCGCATTTCACTACCACAGCGACGAAATTTTTGATGAATTTTAAGTTCTTAGAACGCCCCATGGTTTCAGAATCTTTTATAGAGGATTCATATCATGGGTGTAGATAAAGTCTTGTATGCAACTGTTCATTATCAGGTTTTATATTTTTAAACACCCCGCATACAACAGTTGCATAAATAACTATTATTTTAGACGAGCTTCATTTTAGACTGCCTGCAACTTCGCCCGCGTCAACTTTAGTTTTTTGAGACTCTCACAGGAATTTTTTCCGGGATAAAAAGTAGTCTATGTCTCAATGCAGGTCATAAACTATATATGCGTAACAAATTTCATCGAAATCCGTTCAGTTGTTTTTGCGTGAGAGCTCACTTACGAATTTATAATATTAAGTTAGTATTAATTGATTGTAGCATAATGGAATATTGAACTGATAGCTTAAAAAAATCGGTCCAGGCGTTTGGTCTCTAGTGTGCCACAAAGGAACAAACATACATATATAGACTATTAAACACATAACCCTGTCTGCGCGTCGTGCTTCGCGCTCTTGCATTGCGCAGCCGGGTAAAAAGACAAACACAGAGCCGCAGTTTTTTTTCTGAGATATAAATCTAGAATGAGATAAAACCTTCTAGAATCTATTTTAGTCTAGTTTAATTTATTGTTACCTCTAGAGGTCGTAGTGGCAGGCTGTGGTGCGGAAAGTTCTCCTTCGCCGGCGGCAGAATGAGCTGCCACCCAAGCTTCGTACGTGGACCCTTCGGACAGCGACCGCAGTTCCGTAGATCCCCCCAAACCGACCGCCTGATCGCTGTCTTCTGGTTGAACCGTGGTTGTTTGCGGAGGTCGATCCCTATGGATATCGTTTTCTTAACCGTCTTTCAAAAGAAGAAGGTTGTCAATTCGTCATATAATATCTTTTTTTTGTTTTTGTTTGCGCATTTTGTGAACCGTTTTATATGTTTTTTTTTGTTTGGAAGAGTTTGTTAGCGAGACAGTCTCATATTAATTTGGTGGAGATCTGAGAAATAATTTCAGATATAAACAACGAAACTGCTCAAATACGAACATATGTGTATCGTATTCGTATTTGATTATTTTACGAAATATTAAAGAGAGATTGCAAGCCAGACGTAAATTTTTAGTAACGGGATGTTGCTCTGGCCTATGAAAAGTGAAAATAAAAAACTATTTGACAAAAATAAAAACTGACTTCATAAAATTACAACCGCTAAATACTTAATGTATTTTCTTTACTTAAGTCCAAAAAACATTGGCATGGAAACACCGAGTTAAAAAAATGTATTATTTCTTAATTTTAAGTGGTTTTGATTATATGAAGTCGATTTATATTTGTGTTAAAAAATTTTTTTACCAAGCATCTTGAATTAGACAGAATTTTGGATTTGAATTAGACAGTTTTTTTTTCATAATATAGCTATATCTCCGTTCAATTAATTAATAAAAATATTTTTAAAAACAATTACATTTATACATATGAAATAGGGCTAATAATTAAAAGAAAATGTTCTACCATTTGCAATTAACAGTGGAACAGTTTTTTTAAACAGACTTTACCAACGTTAATTGTTGGACTTACCTTCCAAGTTCGCGATAGAAGACAGTATAGTACAAAATAGGCCCGTTAGGCCTACTCGGTGGCAACCAGCTTATAGCTAACGAAGTAACAGATGTGGCAACCACTTTGACAGCCGCTGGAGGTCCCGGTGCTAAAGTAAAACGTAAAAAAACTTAGTCCGCCATTTTGGATTTAAAGTGACATCACTTCATTTTTCGAGTTATCCTCAGCTAGCCTAGCTAGCCCTTTCATTTTATATCCATATTGTAGGGGCGAATCAAAAATAACTAGTCCGCCGCCTTGTATGTTCTGCCATATTGGATTTAGAATGACGTCACACAGCTCACCATGCATTGTTATCCAAACTAAACGTGTGTACAAGTTTTCAGCTCAATCGAATGAAGGCATCTGCTTCAAAATTGAGTTGCAAGATTCTACCAGAACAAACATACATATATTACAAGTAAAAAAAAACAAAAACTCTTCTGATGGTTATGTAGAGGTATAATTGACAACAGAATTAAATAGAATGTCAATATGTTCAACAACTATTGGACAAAATTGTATGTATTTTGGAAAAGAGGAACGTGCAATTGCAATAGCTGTCTTTTAAGAATAATTATTAAACATTTTAAATATCTATGCAATTACATCTGCATTTTTATTTTTCCGTATCCAAAGAGAAAAAAACGGAACGGTCCGTCTTTGTCTGTATTCAGGCTATATCTAAGAACAGTGATAGTTAAACAGTTGAAATTATCGCAAATGATGGATTTTTCTATAACAACAAATACTAAAAATATAATAAAATAAATATTTAAGTAGGGCTACCGTACAGCAAACGTGTTTATTTTGGCGTTTTTGCTCTATATTTATAACGGCAACATGAAGACGCTTGAAATATTAAATATTCACAGAATATTAAATTTTATATTCTATTTCGACGACCTCCGTGGCCGAGTGGTTTGTATGCAGGGTTTCATGGTGTCGCTAACTCGAGAGGTCTCGGGTTCGAATCCCGTTGGGGGCAGATGTTTGTGTGAAGAATACGAGCATTAAATCTGTACTCTAGTCATGGATGTTAAATATATATTTCTATATAAATATACTTATCTAATTATGTACTGTTTATGTATTCTATCCGTTACCTTAGTATCCCATAATACTTACTTTGGGGCTAGGCTTATTGGTGTGTGTTGAAAAAATCCATCCAAAAACATCATCCCCAGCCACGGTGTACGCTACCGCCTATATCGTGTAATTGGTGCGCGGTTTCAGTGCGGCCAATAGGTTCTATTAAGAAACCGGTACATCGGCCTTCCATCTTTATAGTACTACTATTTAACATTTTAAATATATTATAATTATGTTATTTTATCTGGATTTTCATTATCTCACTATTCTGCCGAGTGGTAGGTACAATGTATTGGCGGGCACCCCATCACCGGCCGCGGTACGCGCCAGTGCTTGTATCGTGTAATTGGTGAGCGTTTTCAGTGCGAGCAATAAGTTCTATTAAGAAACTGGTTACATCGGCTTCTGTCTTAATAGAACTACTATTTAACATTTTAAAAAATTATGTTATTTTATTACATCAGGATTTTCATTAACTCACTATTCTGTTGAGTGGTACAATGTATCGGATTGGCGGGCACCCCATCACCGGCCGCGGTACACGCCAGTGCTTTTATCGTGTAATTGGTGAACGGTTTCAGTGAGGGCAATAGGTTCTATTAGGGAACCGGTTACATCGGGTTTCCATCTTTATAGAACTACTATTTAACATTTTAAATATCTATGTTAATTTATTACATCTCCATTTTAATTAACTCACCATCCTGCTGGGTGGTACAATGTATCGGATTGGCGGGTACCCCATCGCCGGCCGCGGTATACGCTAGCGCTTGTATCGTGTAATTGGTGTGCGGTTTCAGTGCAAGCAAGAGCGTTTCTACGCCGGCTACCCGCTTGACTTCTGCGCCGGCGCCCGCGTTCGAGCCGCCCGCGCTGCGCAACTCCCACTCCAGCCAATCAGCCGCTGCCAACAAACGACTGCCATCACTCAGCTTAGAATGAGGGTGGGAATAATGTTTTTTAGATTTAATTTAGAACTTTCAACTTAAGTTAGAGTAGAGTTAAGGCAGGCCATAAGCGCTATCGGATACAATGATGTCACGCGGGCCGCGTACAGAGGCCACGACAAATAAACGAGCTGTAGCAAATTACTATACTGCTTAAATTACACAATAACGAAGATTTCTTAGCAACTAAACATCCTATATCATCCTATTGAACCTATCGATTCAATAGGATGATATAACATCGAAAGGATGATAAAATCATTTTTTCACCGAATCAACTAATTGAGGGTTAACTAAATTATAAAATGTTAGTTTAATGCTTAAGTATATAGTAGGTATAAGTTTATAAATATATTCCGTACTCACTATGCTCTGGCCGGTAAAGGAGTTTGTATCCCAGCAAAGCGCCGCGGTGCACATGGGCGGGCGGGGGAGACCATTCTACTTTCAAGCTCTGTGGGGAGACAGCCCTGCATCGCACCGCCCGCGGACCTTCTGAAGGCACTGGTTAAAACAAATATGCTTTTCATCAGCATCATCAGCCTATTAATGTCCCCACTGCTGAGCCACAGGCCTTCCCTATGGATGGAATTGAGAGATTGGGCCATGACCCATCACGTAGGTGCACCCCGGCTACGCCACCCGGCTACACCACCTGCTTAACGAGCCATACGAAGCACGTAGGAGCTCGAGATAGTATTTTTTGGTTCCAATGACCGACCACGCAAAAATTGCTTAATTTCACCGATTGCAGCCGAACGCGTTAACCACTTGCGCCATCGAGCTCCTGCTGCTCATGCTTTTCACATGTAAAAATTATAAAAGAAGGGAAAAAAGTGTCAATCAGATGACAATTTTATTAAAGTTGTTTATTACTTTAAATTTCACAACAACAGTTATACAACATGTTCCCAGAAAATTACTTTACATGTCGGATATATTTAGATAAACAAAATATATCAAAATGTGTTATGTTGAACTCTTTGTAGAAGTTAAGTAATACATACATTATTACCATAGACATAGATCGAAATCAATAACGCAAGTGTTACCTACACTTCACTTCGGGTGTCAAAAGGTAGACCGATGGGCATCGTTTTACGGTAATTTACTTCTTCTCGTCGCCGTTCTCGATACCGGACGTCAATCGTAATGTTTAAAAAAACTAACTATGTCATATTGATCTGTAAAACTAACGATATAAACTACTAGATACAACATCACGAACAAAATCGTGACCGAAACCTGTCCAAAAGGTACATCGGACGATCCACGAACCAAGATGTGCTTGAGTCGTGTTCAAGCACTTCTTGATTGGGACATATTTTGAGCGCACGTGGTGTATCTAGGGTATTTAATATAGTTGTGTAAAACAGATAGATCTAATTAAAATAGATAACCGGGGTTCATGCTTTTTCACCACTTATTTGTTCTTATGAGTACTCAAAATCTACGCCGCTCGATTTCCATTCAATTTGAAGTACCTACATGCGGCGTCTTCTTCAATGTAGGTCTGTGATTATTACATTCATGATGTAATAAAATATGCCAATGCTTTTATGGGCGTGCGCTGGGTTGAGCGGGAACATTTAGCGGACGTCCGCTCCACGTGATTTTTTATGTTATATCAAAGAGCAGCGCTGCGTGAGGCGGGTCTCCCGTCACAGCACTGCTCTATGAAATTACATACGTGATCCCGCAGCGCAGACCTTTAAACAGTATGTAGGTAGAGGAAGTGATATCTTACCACTTTCCTGGGTGAGCGTATTAACGGGCGTGGTTGCAGGTCCTGCTCCGGCGCTGTTGAAAGCTCTGACGCATACAGAATACCTAAGAAATATAATAAAGCAATACTCAACGATAAACATCTTCAATGGATTGGGATTTCTTAAAAAATGAATATAAAAACCCAATGTATTCATAATAATTATGATAATACTTATATAAATATTGACTTACGTTAAAACTTATAATAGTACCAGTATTAAGGAAAAAATAGCTAATAAATTATTAAACTAGCTCGAGGATTAAACCCTTTACGATGGCTGTGGAGGGCTAGCCATCTCACTGACCGACTTTGCAAAAATATTATTATATTTTCAAATGTGAATGAAGAGGTAATGGTACTATAGGTAGACTGCTTAACTGAGACTTTCTGTGGGGTAAAGGGTGTGGGGGAGGACGTGAACCGCAAGAGGTGCGGGTGGCGGGCGTTTGCAATTTTGACATGAATGTGCCTGCCACCCGCACCTCTTACGATTCTCGTTCTCCCCTATACTCTTTACCTCGCAGGCGAGGACTCAGTTCAGCGGTCTAGCTTTAGGTGCATATCTCCCCAAAGCAGTTTTATTGGCAAATCTTTCCTCGTAGGATGAGCATCACAACAATATATATTCTATCTTTATCGCGTCTAATTGTCCAATTCTGTAGTAATTCTTCAACAAGTGTGATATAAACGAGATATATATATATATATCACTAGCTGACCCAGTGAGCTTCGTACCACCATAAAAATAGGGGCTGCTGGTCGAAGGGTGAAAATTTAGAATTGTAGGTATTTTTAATGCCATATTATAAAAAAAATACCAAAAAATAAAAACAAAATGTTTGGGGTGCACAACCCTTATCACTTAGGGGTATAAAAAATAGATAGTAGCCGATTCTCAGACCTACTGAATATGCATATAAAATTTCATAAAAATCGGTCAAGCCGTTTCGGAGTAGTATGGTAACTAACATTGTGACACGAGAATTTTATATACAGGGTGAAATTGAATGTTTTAATGAAACTTCGTGGGAATGTTGGGTTACGTATATAGAGTATCTCTGAATTTTTTCGGATTTTTTAAAAAATGATTTAAAATAAAATTTTGTTTTTTTTTTGTTATATTTTAAGTCCTTTCCTCCTTTTGGGTACTAAATAATTATTCTTTTAAAATGCATACAGAGTAAGTAAAAAACAAGTAATAAGCACTACTAAAAAAGACGTAAAAACAGGAGACGGGCGGCCGGGAGCAATGACCGCTCCCGCCGTTGAATACCTTCCTGCCTACCTATCTAGGTATGCGCGGTGCACAGCGCAGTGAGCGAGCGGAGTCTCAAGCGCGCGTGCGTATCTTTTAAATTTGTGACAAGACAAGATTTGCAAATAATGCCTTGATTAGTTCTTGTTCTGTGCCCTCAATATAAGAATTTGGATATGGTGTGTTGTTATTGCGAGTGTCACGGAATACTCAGCAGAGCCACAAGGCTTTACGAAAGTAGGTTTGGTGATTTATTGGTAAGTTATAAAGAAAAAAATTAATAGGTACATCGGTTACACTCTTTTACATTCTGACCCAAGTATTGAACTGCAGTAAGTATTTCTTTTTGTTTAACTTTTGCCTATTTCCAATCGTGACAAAATTATTATTAACTTTTTAAGTTTTTCTCTGCTTAAGAGAAGATGACATTTGTGCTTATTATTTCAATTTCAATAAAGGCATCTAAGACGATTTTATTGTATTGTGTGGAATCAAACGAGTCAGCTGAGCTCTGTGTACGTACCTACTCACTTAACGGCTGGCGGGCGCAGTCGGTCGTTGACCCGCGGTGGAATTTTACTGTTTTTCCGTTTTTTAGAAGTGCTTATTTATTAGTTGTTTTTCACTGGATATGTAAGCATGTTTGTTTAATATGAATAACTACTCAAAAGGAGGAAAGGACAAAAAAATACACAAATTATAAATAAATACATGAAAAAAAATACTTCAAAAAAATCCGAAAAAAATCAGGCATACTCTATACTCGTAACCCAACAATCTCACGAAGTTTCATTAAAACATTCAATTTCACCCTATATAAGACTAGTGACCCGCCCTCGCTTCGCTTCGGTATTTTATCCTCTTGGGGGTAGAATTGATCAAAATCCTTTCTTAGCGGATGCCTACGTCATAACATCTACCTGCGTGCCAAATTTCAGCCCGATCCGTCCAGTGGTTTGGGCTGTGCGTTGATAGATCACTATGTCAGTCAGTTACCTTTGAGTTTTATATATATATAGATTTCGTAATGCTCATGCTGGGGTGGCTGGGGTAACAATACTCCTTTCACTAAAAATGAGAGGGAAAGCTCCAACATCCTCACCGAGTGTAATGCTCCAGGCTCTCGATGGTATATTTGGTGACTTGCCCGCGTACTGTAGCAAACTCCATGCCTACACTAGATCCACCAGCAACAGACCCATCGGCTGACGGCCACCACCAAACTGTGTATCCGAGGAGCTCGCCGTTCCAAGTAGACGACGGCGGTGCCTGTGATCCATACATGACTGTTGTAACTGTATAATATTCCATTATTTTCCAAGTATTTAAAAAATTACATTCGCCCATTATATCAAAGTGTTCTGGTTCAATTCCAGTCTAATACCTGACGAGCGGATTTTTTCTAGTCACAATAATCATTTAGTTTCTTGTATTTTCTCAAGAGAGAAGCCAAAGTGTTGACGCTCAAACTGGAACTTTTATCCAAGCAAATATCTTCTAGCATTAAGAATTAGTACTGCAGCGACATAACGCTATAATGTACTGTTATATTCCTCCAGTAATTCAGATTGATAGAAATTTTTAGTAAGTGGAATTTTCTTAGTCAAGAGTGGGGTAATGGACGAAGGTTAGGAATGTGTATGCGGTATGGAATGGTCAGGGGCCGGGCAACGAGTGGTGGAGTTTTATTTACTGAACAATAACGACAATTTGAAGGAAAAACAACATTAGCATTTTTTTTTAAATAAGAAGGAGTATGATTATTTTCTTCGTCTATCAGGTAAATTTCCAAAAAGTATTGAAGACCTATATTTTTTAATAAATATAATCAAAAAATTACAGAAATATATTTATTTCAAATATCACATGACGTCACGTCTTGGTAAATTTATTTCTTAGAAGTGACGCGCTGTAACTTTTTTTTTAGTTGGTTGACAAAAGAAAAAATAAGCGTCATTAATTTTTTGAAAACTTAACCGACGTACTTGACAGAACTTCGTTTACCTTGTCATCATCCGTATTATTACAACCTTCTGCAATCTTCTTAAGACACATGGTAGAATTATAAATCGAATATATTATAAATAGTAATATAGCTAATATTTAGCAACGATACTGTCCTGACGAAGGTGTCATGGTAAGTGACGGAAGACAGCAGTGCAGCGACAAGTTCTGAAGAACAGGTAGCGGTAGGAAGTACGGCGGTAGCAGGACACCAGACGTAGGGAAGGATGATAAAGTATGTAGGAAAGTAGATTGGTCTGATGATAGGTGATTTTTAACTAGTTAGTGTTCCTAATAAAAATAGAAGTTCTATAAAAATCGCTGCAAGGACGATCTTCACGTTAAGCATTTTACAACTGGGCCTACAGCGCGTATCGTGCCATAACGTATTACTACACTAGTGTCTCAATAAGAGACAGTCAGGATTTATTCTACAAACTTGACATAAATGAAATGAGCTCGTAAGTAAATTACACAATTACCCAACAGACAAACAATTAAATTTAATTATCGTAATAATTATCATAAACTCCATGTTCAATATCGTTGGCTATAACAATAATATGTACAAATTAAAAGATATTAACATTGGTGGGACAGTAGATTTATGAGAATATGCTTAATTTATGTACATACATAAACATTTTGATTATTTTATTAGGAAAAGTGATATTCATATATTAAATACAAAAAGCACATAACAATTTTTCTGAGAAATGCTTTTAATGTTACCGCACAGTATTGTTAATCTATTTACGCAAAAACTAAAACCTCATGTCAAAAATACTTTGATGAGCAAAGGGTGTCGATTCTGGCAGGATTCTCTAAACTTAAAACTAAATTTAACATCAGTCTGTCCTTTTCATTTTGTATAGAGAATGAGAAGGATACTCTGTTGTCAAGTTTAAGTTTAGCTTTAGATAATCACGCCAGAATCGACACCATTATCTAGTCCAAGATTACTTAAATGATCTCTCTGGAAATAAGGAACACTTTAATCATTAAAGTTAGCAAAGCTCTGTCAGTAAATTATAACTGTGTAACACACATTATTGTATTGGTAGTGTCATGATTTTCTATAATTGTTGCTATGTACTTCTGTCAAATGCTGATAAGTTTCTTGGTGCCCATTCTTCTTGTCAGCTATAAGATTCCCTGAATGGGTGGTAGGAAAAATATTGGACGATTCAAAACAGCTTTCAATAAGTAAATTGAATTTTTATATCATTTTATTTTCATTAAAGTTATTGTTATTACGAATTAATTACAAACTTACCCGATTACAGGGATACAAGCTTATAGTATTATACACATATTTATAATTTTATAAATGACAAACGTAAAAAATCAATTATGAAAATGGAAGTGCAGCCTTTGCAATGACAAAGCTGACCAATGCCCTGGTTTTCCATTTGAATTTCTGCATTTTGTTTTTGGCGCGTGATAGCGAAGCCTACTCGATTTATATTACGGAGCGGCGCGTTTTGTTAGTAGAATCAGTGTAAATGAGGGTTTAGTTATATTTTGTTACTGCGTTCAATGTTTTCTTATAATCGTGGTTAAGTTTTTAACAGATCTCTGTTGCATCTGCTAAAGATAAAAATTCGACCCTGTCGAGCACGCAACTTGAAACAAGTAGTAGAGAGAAAGCGAGTATTGACAGTAATAATACACTTCTGGACACATCTATTGGCCCACCTTGTATTTTCAGTTTCGTTTGGTCCTAGCTAAAATTTTATATTAGGTCGAGCAAAAAGTTTTTATGCAGTTTTGAACCTGGCACATTCACAATTTCATTCAATAGTCTTTTTTTGAATTTCGAACACAGAATTTAAAGAAACAAAAGACAATTTGGAGCCTGTTTGTTGATATCAAACAATCGAATACTAAGAAAACTTGGTTTTATTGGTTTACTTGGATTTAATTCTTGAAAAAGTGATTGATATCTTTGGTTTTGCAACAAACATTACTTATTCTTAACATTAAGGTGAGGTTCTATCAATAATCTATGGATACTTCACCTGAAGTCGCCGCCCAAGCTGTGGCACTTATTCAGGCCGGACTCAGCCAAAAAAAACGTCAGTGCTCAACTTAATTTAAGTCGATCTGCGGTCCGAAATGTTTATCGGAGGTACCTAGAGACTGGCGGCTTTGTTCGTCGCCAAGGAAGGCCACGATCTCGGGTCACTACTGAAAGGCAGGATCGATTCATCGTGACGACCAGCTTGAGAAATCGTCACCTTACCTCCATTGAGATACAAAAACAAATTCGCGACTTCCACGGAGTATCTGTGAGCGCTCGAACTGTTCGGAGAAGGTTAAAAGAACGCGATATGGTACCACACAAGCCAGCTAATGGGCCCAAACTAACGCGAGCCCACTGAACAGAGCGCCTTCATTTCGCACGCAGTCATTTAAATTGGACACAGCAAGATTGGAGCCGTGTACTCTTTTCTGATGAGTCTAAAATTGTGTTACATGGCAATGATGGAAGGAAGAAGGTCTACCGACGTTAAGAGAGCGTTTCGCACAGTGCTGTGTAGTGTATACCTATCGGAAACGTAATTAGGTCATGTCGCAATCCGCTATTTACGTAGATAGTTTTAGCAAGTAAGCAATATTATTAATTCAATTATTTTGTAATGTTTTATTGCACTCAATAAACGGACTTCAAACTATAAACTATGTTTCCTTAAATAACCAACGATAGGCTAATATTAGATGGCGACCCTTGCCATTCGAATCGTGTAATATACTTCCACCAAGAACTCAGTCAAAAGAAGACCAAACCTATTTCCAAATAATTCAGAATCCGTATTTTTCAAGAATACAAGATAAACTTCAGAAGAATTAAGACTACAAGAGATTACAGAAGAAACAGATAATGGGAAAATCGGCATCCAAAGAACAAGTTGTGATAGCTCAAAACGCAAATGGAGCAGCTTCGGCAACAGCATCCCAATCCCAGAGCGAAAAATTGGCTATCCTAGAAATTTTGATCGGAGCGACCGTCTGCATAATCCTGTTTGCTGCAATTTATTACATTTTCAAGAAATGCAATAAACATTTTGTTCGCACCATACAACGAGAGCTCAACAGGAACAACATAGCCACCATCTCACGAGCTGACCTCACTACCAGCGCAGTCTAAGAAGTTTAACAAGATGAGTCCAGGATTCAGCCCGGCCAAAACGTCTGTCATCATCGGTCATCGGCAGCCAGTCATATCACCGTATCAGCACCACTGCAGCCAGCTCGCCTGCCCCAGTCCCTCGGAAGAATCTTAGTAAAAAGGTGTATCTTGAACAACCAAATTAAAAAGTATGTAATCATATATTTTTTTTTAACTATTTTTATTTTCAATTTATCGTTATGAAGCACGTACTTAATGTTTTTATTGTTTTTAGTTTAGATAATTATGTCAGGTGTAGTATTTGAAATTCATGAACTACATAAATCATTAGTACATCTTAGAGATTATTTAGTTAAATTAGGACCTAAAGGAAGGCAACAGGACCTTGGTTTGAAAAAAGTTAAAGAGGCAAAAGTTTTGTATTCAAAGTTGGAGAGTATTTTGTCTGTGTTGCATTCTCAAATTGAAACTGAACAGATTTCTACTAGTGATATAACTTCCATCCATAAAATAATAAATGAAATTCATCAAATTTTTAATAAAATTATAGAGTTATCAATTTCTGAGCAGAAACAAAGTGAAACAGTCAAAATGAGTGATAATTGCGAGTTTGATTTAAAAACTGCCATAGCCTTATTGCCTGTAATGACGGGACAAGAGTCTGTTACTAATTCCCTTATAAATAGTATAGAATTGTACAGTAAGATGATCTCGGACAAATCTAAAAGTCCTGTTCACCCTTCCCTTTCAAAGGAAAAAAATTAAATTAGATAGAATAATTAAGTCATGTTGCATAATGTATGTTAAGTATATGATAAGGCTAATTCCATAGTACTTAAAATTATAGTAACATAAGTTTAGTTATAAAATTAATCTAGTTATAATTATTATTTTTAAGTGTAATACAATTTCGTATTATTCTTATGTATAAGATATTCCTTATTATCCTTCAAGATTTTTACATTGGGTGACACTTCTTCAATAACTACAAATGGACCATTATAAATGTTTTGGAGTTTATCTCCTGTTTGATTTTTCACTAAAATAAGGTCACCTTTTTTATATGTAATAGGATAAGTACATTTGTCATACAATAATTTTCTTTTCAACTTACTAGAAAATAAATTAATTT